TAACAGCTCTGCAGGTAACCACCAGTTTGCTGCCAAGACTCTCAGCTAGTAACCAGTCAAATGAAAATCATTTCAGTCTGGATGAATTTGATTGATCACAATAATCGATTGATCACTCAGTGTATAAAATATCAGAGCATTAATCCCTGAAGTTAAAGTTGACGTATTCTACATGTTTTATTGTCGGAGGAGAAATAAACAAATATTCTTATTTAAAAAGGACTTTATTGATCATCTAATCGATACCTCCACCAATCATGTCAGCTCTACAGCACTTGGTCGGTTTCTGGGTAAATAATGAAACAGTCATTTACAGTGTAGTGGAGGTCAATAAGGCCGAGAGGAAACCTGTTACTCACCGTGAGTCAGGGAGACATGGAGTCTGTCCTGTTGTGACTGAAGGTCTCTCTCTCTGTCTCTCTCTCTGTCTCTCTCTCTGTCTCTCTCTCTCTCTGTCTCTCTCTGTCTCTCTCTCTGTCTGTCTCTCTCTCTGTCTCTCTCTCTGTCTCTCTCTGTCTGTCTCTCTCTGTCTGTCTCTCTGTCTCTCTCTCTCTCTGTCTCTCTCTGTCTGTCTCTCTGTCTTTCTCTCTCTGTCTCTCTCTCTCTCTCTCTCTCTGTCTCTCTCTCTCTCTCTCTGTCTCTCTCTCTCTGTCTCTCTCTCTGTCTCTCTCTCTCTGTCTCTCTCTCTCTCTCTCGGCAGATCGAGATTCACTGTGAACACAGTCGCTTTCGTGTGTTTGTGGACGGACAGCAGCTGTTTGACTTCTACCACAGACTGACGTCACTCAGCGACATCGACACGCTGTGGATCAAAGGCGGCGTCACCATCACTAAACTGGCCTGAGGTCACGCGCTTCAACACAAGCTCCTTTCAAACACACACACACACACACACACACACACACACACACACACACACACGACTACACACAAGCACACGTTTGAAGTACTTTTGCTTTTCTTGAGTATTTTATTTTCATAGTACTTTGTACTTCTACTCCAAAACATCTCAGAGGAAAATGTGCTTTTTTACTGATCTAGGATTTATTATATTATGAAACATCATCATCTGTTAAAGATTAAATCTGTTAAAAAAGTAAATCTGAAACTAATGGTTGATTAATGTAAAATTAACTGGCGATTACTCTGATCAAGGTTTAGATAACTTTCTGATGATTTGATTTTAATCTATTCTTAGTCACTTTGATGTTTGGACCAAACAAACAGAGACAAATAAAACAATCAGTTCATCAATATAGAAAATAATGATAGAAAATAATCATGAGTCGCAGCCATTAGTCATTTTTATACTTGATTCTACTTACATATGTTTACTAAGGTAATATTTTCAATGCAGGACTTTTACTTTGAAAGGAGTATTTTTTTACAGTGTGGTGTTAGTATTTTTTACTTAAGTGAAGGATCTGAATATTACAAACGTGTTTGATGATTTGTCAATAATTTAAAATGTTCACAAATCCACAAACAAATACCAAAACTATTTTACACATAGATACAGCCGAACTTGAAGAGTTCAGAGTTTTCCAACAGCACTTAAACACAACATGTATTTGTGAAGAGTGTGTGTATTTGTGTTTTTTAAATGTGCAGGAATTTTTTATCTTAAAAACAAATGCAATCAGATGGAAGTTGGACAAACTGTATATATGTAAAATAATTTATTTATTTGTAAAATAGTTTTTATAATTGTATTTAGATTGTTTGGTCTTTGTTTGTGGTTGTGACAGTGTGTCAGTGAACACCGTGAATTACCCACAAATCCTCAAACACTTTGATTAATCTTGTTTTTACTTGCACATCATGAAACATGTATTTGTCACCAGTATTGATTCTCATTTGGATTTTAATCCAGACTGATGTTGGAAATGAATCTTCATAAAACAGATGTTCAGACCCCAGACACAAAGTACTGCAGCTGTGACAAAACTAAGTGGACGGGGTTTCCTGGAGCCACAGAGACCGTGGACGAGGTTGTTTTTATATTTTGTTGTATTTTCTCTTAAACCATATTTTGTGATGATGAGAAATTCATACACTTCTTATTACGTCTCCTTGTTGCCTGCGGTGTGATGTCCATGATTTATTCTTCTTATCAGATTTTACACATTTTTGTCGGGAATTTTATATTTTTTTTGGATGTTTTACAAAAATTTTCCAGATGTTTTTTCAGGATATTTTACTACATTTCTTTCAGATACTTTATCAATATTTTTAAAATATTCTCGGGTGATTCTTAACTTTAAATAAAATTGATTGATTGATGTGACAGACATTTCTGACTAGAATCAATTGGAAGAAACAAATGTTGTGTGTCTTTACCTATGACAGGTCAGCTGTCACGAACACTGACTGGAAACACTCCTGCAGTGCGGCGGGTTGCCCACAGGGGGGCAGCAGGCGTCTGGATACTGAAACATGACGCATTAAAATGAAGTTGTTCTGTGAAGGACTGAAGTCTGAGCATGGAGTAATATAAAAGAATACATGGCATGAAACTACAACACAGTTAATGCAAATACTATTATTGCATTATATATAATATATATATATATAATATATTCTCCATTACAAGTTAAAGAGTTACTCAAAGTACAAAAGTAAAATTTAGTGACCACACCACGTGGACAAAAGTATGTGGACCTTGAACATTTCATTCATACTGTTCTCTAGCCGTAACTGCATGGTTATTATTGTAACCATGACAACAAAGGTCCCTTAACCTTACTAAATTTTTAATCCCAGACCTTTTAAAAAGTTTTTTGAACCACAGCAACTTTTGTTCTTTGGGACAGAACTAAAGCTGGAGGCAGGTGTGGGTTGCCCCTGGATTTGTACCTTGGAAACCCCTGGAAAAAAAACTCATTTGGCTGCAGAGAGAAATCCAACACACAAACATCTGTAACAGCTGTCCGACAAAGGACGACTGCCCTGCAGTTTTTAATGAAATAAACTATTTGGGAAAATTGGCCTTTATCTTAAAACTATGTAAAAAAAATACGATATATATAAAATGTAACTCAATACATTTGTCATTAAAAGTCCCTGTTACATTACAAGTGTTGTGTTGCCCATGACGACCGTCACTTCACCCTCAAAATATCAACCTAAAGAAAGAAACAGTCGAGGGACGAACTCAAAGTGACACTTCATCCTGTCACATTGAGATTTCACGTCGCTGGATGTAAGAAACAGACGCTGACGTGTGATTGGTCGTGAGGTGTGTCAGCTGTTTGTGGCCCGTGACCGTGGTGAGCGTTCAGTTTCATGGAGAAGCTCCGCCATTATCACCTGCTGCCTCCCCTCATCCATTATACATCACAGCTACAGTTCACTGCTCCACCTGTGTGCGTGTGTGTGTGTGTGTGTGTGTGTGTGTGTGTGTGTGTGTGTGTGTGTCCTGTATTTACTCCCTGTCATACCCCATTAAACCTGGTTTCATGTTCTGAGCTCAGTGCTGTTTATGCTCCACACCTGAACATTATTCCTCCCCCAGCGTTAGAGGACAGTTTAATCAGGTTCATACAACCAGCTGATGATTCTAATTATTACTAATAATAATAAACTTTATTATAGAGCACTTTTCATGCACAGGATGCAGCTCAAAGGTAAATGTAAATAACCCCCCCCCCCCCCCCCCAACACCTGACACCACCTGTAGTTCATTTAGTTTTCCTCTCAGTGGTGTGTGACCTCCGACCTCTCTGCTTCACCTGATGAAATATTTACATGTGTCAAGATCCATCACCCCTGTTACCATGGAGACCCCTGCAACACAGCGCGGTTACCTGTCTTAATTTACTCTGGATACATCAGGTCAGTGATTAAAATGTCTGCTGCTGCCGGTGTGAACACTTCTACGATGATGATGATGATGATGGTGATGATAGTGATGGTGATGATGATGATGCTGATGCTGATGATGCTGATGATGATGGTGATGATGATGATGGTGATGATGATGATGGTGATGATGATGATGGTGATGATGATGCTGATGATGGTGATGATGATGGTGATGATGATGATGCTGATGGTGCTGATGATGATGATGATGGTGCTGATGATGATGGTGATGATGATGCTGATGATGATGATGATGATGGTGATGATGGTGATGATGGTGATGATGCTGATGATGCTGCTGATGATGATGATGATGATGCTGATGATGCTGATGATGATGATGATGATGGTGATGATGGTGATGATGGTGATGATGCTGATGATGCTGCTGATGATGATGATGATGATGCTGATGATGCTGATGATGATGATGATGATGGTGATGATGGTGATGATGCTGATGATGCTGCTGATGATGATGATGATGATGCTGCTGATGATGGTGATGCTGCTGATGATGATGATGATGATGATGATGATGATGATGATGATGATGATGATGGTGATGATGATG